CATATATATGGTTGTCTATGTAGACAGATAAATGTAGAGATGAGAGGGATGTATATTTACGTATAGGGGTGTATATATTATTCATATAGAAAGGTGTATGTGCTTGTGTAAGTGTTTATGCACATGTGGGTGCATAAATATATGAGCCTTTACGTATATTATGCATGTGTGGGTTTAGACAAACCCAGCCCTGCCAGCTGAGCCCAGGCCAACTTCTTGCACCTTCCCAGTTCCCAGCAGTTCCCATTTCCAGCAGGGAAATGCTGCCCAGTTGCTCAGAGTTGCTCAGAACAACTGGGCTGGTGATTTGTGAGATGGGGCACTAAAGCCTGGAGAGGCAGAGGGGGTCACCCAAGGTGGCACTGTCACTTTGGTGGCAGAGGCACCAGTGGGACCATCCTTGTGTCTCATTCCCGACAGTCCATGTTTAGTACCCAAAAATTCCCAATTTGTCCGCATCATTACACCTCCAGGCTTCCCTAATTGGAGATTTCCCTTAAAACAGCCCAGCCTTGGTCCCCACCAATCAGCCAGGCAATGTTTGGGGACAAGGGTGTGGTGGCTTTGGCCAAGGGAACACACAGAGGTGGAGCATCCCCCCTTCATCCTCGGAAATCTGCTGAGCTGGAGCTTTCGCTTCCCTCCAGCCCAGCTTTGTCCAGCCCTACCAGGGAGCCACAAACCGCCCCCCCCACGGTGAGCAGGACAAACCAAAGAGGAAGGTTTCCAAGGCAGGAAAGCCCCTTCCCTTATCCTATTTGAGGACAGCAGCTGCCAGGATATTTTCCCGCTGTATCCAGCTTGCAGAAGCCCCTTCCTATTAACACAGGGTGTTAATTAGAGCTAATTCCATGGGAGAAGGGCTGGCACGCGATGGTAGGAGAGGGACAAAGTCAGGGGAAGCTCGAGGCTGCTGGGGAGCAGCAACAAGGATTATTTTTAATCTCTTCCCCATCTGGCCACAGAACAGTCCCACTTCTCTTTCCCAACCCTTGCTCCTCCTCCACAGACACCTTAAATCCCTGGGATAAGGGTGATCCCATCCTCCAGAGCACCCCAACACCACGGGCACCCCTTTCCCCCCCTAAAAGTCTCATTTCCCACTGGATTTTGCTATCACTGTTGCCTCAGGGCACCAGGACCACAATCCTGTGGATTTGGGAGGCACCAACCCCCTCTCCCCAGGGGCTGGCAAGGATACCTCTGAGGGTTTTTCGAGGTGAGAAAAGGGATTTTTGGGATAATCCACCCGGCCTGATGATGAGCTGTGTCCACATGTAGGAGTGTCCATGGAGGGGGGGGTGTAGGGGGCCATGTGATGCCCGCAGCGCCATCCCATGCAGCCCAGTGCCCACTCTGCTGTGCCATGGTGCTCTTCCATGTGGCACACCGCCCGCCATGCCATGCCATGTCATGCAGTGCCCACGGTGCCATTCCATGCATCCCAGTGCCATGCCATGCCATGCCCATGGTGTTCTTCCGTGCAGGGCAATTCCCACCCTGCCTTACCGTGCCATGTGACACCCACAGTGCAAATCCATGTGGCACAGTGCCTGCCTTCCCGTGCCATGCAGTGAGATGCCCGTGGTGCTGCTCCATGCAGGGTAGTGCCCATCCTGCTGTGCCAGGTGATGCCCACAGTGCAAAGCCATGTGGCACAGCACCCACCCCACCATGTCATGCCATGCCTACGGTGCCATTCCATGCAGCCCAGTGCCCACCCTGCCATGCCATGTGATGCCCATGGTGCTGTTCCATGCAGGGCAATTCCCACCCTGCCATGCCATGCCATGCCATGCCATGCAGTGCAGTGCTGTGTGGAGCCCAGGGTGCTGTGCCACGCAGTGCCCACGCTGCCACCCCCGTTCCGTTTCCGTTTCCCCGCAGAACTGCTGTTGGCTGGAAAGGGGAAGCGCTCCTTGCTCCGCAGGGCGAGTGCAGCACCCCAGGGGCACAGACCTGCCCTGTGCCAGGCAGGGCAGCAGGTCCCAGCACCTCGTGGTGCCCACTGGCACCCTGTGGCACCCTGGCAGGTAGGATGCTCTCCCAGGTGCCCCAAAGACCCCTTTGCCGGCCACCTTGTCCCCATGTCCTCGGGGGTGAAGCACACAGGCTGGCAGAGGCTCCTGTGGGTGCTGGGTGGGTGCTGCCCCAACCTGGGGTCCTGAGGAAGGTTTGGGGAGTCCTGGGGGAGGTTTATGGGACCCAGGGGATAGGGAATGCCACAGCCCCACAGCGCTTATTGGCTTGGAGGTGGCAG